TGTGTAAAAGGATATATCAAATTTCTCATTCAGGAACCAGGCCATCTCCAGAAGTGTGGGTGAGGCAGAGAAGCAGCTCAGTCTTCATTTTTGTGTGCAGTGGGGTTTGAGATTTAAGTAATTGGTCAACAGCCCAAGTAAAATGCGCAGATCCATGGCCTTCCCAAGCCTAAAAAAAGGCTCTCATGTGAGGTGGAGCTCTTCAGGGTATCTTTGTCACCTGAAATATGTATTGTCACATGTCTTTCAAATCACCAGGTTTTTCTGATTGATGAAATTTGCATACTTGTAGTGCCTCATTGCGGTGCATTGATGAAATGGTTCTTGCATGGTTCTATGCACCAGAAACATATATACAAAAATTCCCAACAGTGGGACTACAATGCTAATAGTAGCATTGGTGTAGCATAAAACTGCTAAAAGCTAACAACTTTATTCGTAGCCATTTGAGGTTTTGCGCAAGTGCTAACTGAGTGAGGCCAAAAAAGGGCCTTGCTAGGCTGCTCTACAGTGGAAAAAAGCCTCTACAAGCGCTGTAGTTTAGCAGCTTTGTAGTTCCTCTAACGCTACAACATTGGCAGAAAAGAAATTTGGCCACTACGCTACACTATTTTGGCCATGTTGTGCAGCGGCCCACTGCTGAACAGCCTCTGGGGCAGAAAAATTGGCTCAAGGGGAGGGGATGTTTCACAGTTGTGAAGTTTGGCTATACCAAAATTTGTGAGAATGGCCCTCAGGGCAGATGTGGGAAGGTACTTTGCTCCCAAGCTCCCATGGTGAAGTTATCCAGACCCACTTGATTTTGAAATTTACAACAATTCTTGCTATGGCCCACTGCAGAGGGACTTCTAGGTGGTTCTCCCCACCGGTGAGACTTGTGCCATAAGTTGGAAAACTTGTGTGGAAAGATAAGCAAGAATTTAGGATTCTCAGAGAATCCCAACTTTCCAATATACCCAGTGTTTGACTAAATAATTTTGTTCCTCCACATGCGTGCTTACAGCCATCCAAACCACACATCTTCAACTTTTGAGTGTGATTTTTGATTGATTCTTTGTAAGAGATTCCTGTTAATTCCTTTTAACTTTCTTGGGAAGTTCAATCAGGCAGATTTAACTTGGGTAAGCCCAAACCTCTCAGTGGATACAGGCAAAGTTACTGATCAATCTAAAAAAAAAACCCAAAAAACTGACCAAGACACCAACCATCAAAAGTCACCACATAATGACAGAACTAATCATCAACCACCCAACAGAAGCTGGTTTTAGACGGTGTGGAACTACTCTAAGGGGAGTAGAGCTTGGAGGGGAAATAGACAACTACACTACTAATAATGTA